GGGGGGGGGGGGGGGGGGGGGGGGGGGGGGGGGGGGGGGGGGGGGGAGACGCGCAAGAAAGAGTATTCACAATGTACGAGGACCTGTGTCGATGCCGTCCACGCAGCATGTACGTACAATCCTCTATGATCCATGGAATCTGATTTCGACCTTACGAATGGTTGTGACGTGCGAAGACGCGGTGACGCGGAATACGAACGTCCTGATATGATCGACATACATTTGTTTCCTCTGACGGAGGCAGAACGTTGCGACAGTACTAAAACTCGAAGGTTCACCACCAGGGGATGCAGCTTCCGAAAAAAATATGAGACAGCCAGGGTCCTCACATAGGATTCACCTCTCCCGTACCATCATACTCACGAAGCTGGCGTTACACCATACAAGCACCATTTATCGAAACGTGAGGCTCGATCAAGTGGCAGGGAGGGCTGGGTGAGGGAGGGGAGACGGTTGGCAATGGAAACTTGCAGTTCGGGCGACTCACGTGGTGGTGACAGTGAGACTGCCCAGGCCCTCGGGGCTTTCCGGCGAGAAAGCTAGGGTCACTTCCTCGTTGCGCAAGAGTACCTGCCGATGATGTGTTCATGGTCAGCAACGGCGGCGGGGGCGAGAGGACCGTCGGCGGAGTGCCCGCGTCGGAGAGTGGGGAGGGTTGTGTGTGCGCGGGTCATCGAACACCATCGCTGTAAACGATAGCTGTGTTGATGCTTGGCTCTTGCTTCACCATTGTGGCTGTGTCTCTACCACGAGGGTTGAGAGCGTTCGCGCCAACGAACGTAAAGTACCGGCGCTCGTGTGAATGTTGTGTGCGTATTTTCTTATTCGCATCGACCGAGCTATGTAAGCGGCTGACCAATGAAATTACGCTCTCTTCGTATACAGCTGTGCTCTCTGCTTCAGGAACGGCAGTCGGTAGACTGTCTCGGCTTGCACAACTCCGCCAACGGTCCCAAGAACGGGGCCAGCGCAGTGAAGTGGTCGGCGACGAGGATGTTGTGCAGCGCGGAAGGGTCGCTCGGTTGCTTCTGCCACACCCGGTTCCGGTCGATCGTCGACCTTCACCATTGGTCGACCATAAAATCAGAAATATCCATTGAAAAAATCGGCCACTTTTATCAACTGCGGGCGCCTTTTTTCTCTCTCGAAATAATTGGTCAACCAGAAAACTGCGGGTGCCTTTGAACTCTCTCGCCTGCGGGCACGGGTCATCTATCTCTGTGTAGCTACAAATACCTCGTTGTTGAAGTGAAAGACAAGACGAGAGGTCCGAGACAACCGCAACCTCCCAAGAATCGGAAACAATTACTATTTCGTCTTGAATGCAATAGGGCATCATGAGAGCAAGTTTTAGGCATGTGTGTGTCGACGACATTTGGCAATGTGTCAACGCATGCTTCACTGTCTGCCCAGATCCAGAGACCCAGAGTGGGTGCGCGCCGGATATACTGCCGTACACCACAACATCACACTCTGGAGAACCAAAGACTCTCTCGTGTTCAAAATATAAAATCCGCCGCACCGACAGCTCTCAAACATCGCACCTCCTCTCCCTCGTCTTCATCCAAGACGGGCCCTGTTCCAAGCTCGTTACGTTCACAGTATTGACGCATCATGGGCGCTGGAGGGGAGAACATGCTGTGTTAGGCGTTAGAGCAGCTGGACGGTGGTGACAAAGGCTGTGACAAAGGCTGTGGTGTGTAGCAACAGCGGCGGAGAGGGCCGAGATCGCAAACAAGAAAATATGAAAGTACCCCGCAGAATCCAAGCATGCGACCCCCCAGGCACCGCTCTCCGCTCTCCGCTGCCGCCGACCCAGCCAGCAGCCATAGCATAGTAGTACAGCAGCACTAGACGCCGCTGCCCCGCTCGGTCCAAGAAATGAACGCTCCCGAGAGGTTCGTCGATGTTTCCTTTTGTGTGGTGACCTTTGAGAGAGCTGGGAATGCGCTTCTCCATGTGGCACACATCATCCGTTGCTCGCTCGATCGATCGCCCCCAGCAGCTGCGGAGCTACTGCTGTCTGCTGTACGGATCCTGACCCTCCCCGGTCAACCCGCGCTGTATTTCTCTCTGTCTGTTTCCTCTCAGGTCGGAATCATGGCGACTAAACGACGATGAGAAAAAGTGAGTCCATTCGTTGCGGTGATTCGTCGCGCCATCGGCGGGGCATTGCCGGAGTACGGAGTACGGAAAAATGGTTTAGCGCACCTGTGCAGCTGTGGCACGTACATGCGGCGGTTGAATACAGTAGGTTTGAACTGCTGGATTGCTGGATTGCTGGATTGGAACTTAGATACAAGCAGCAGAGCACACCTACTGTGCGAGATTGCACGCACAGAATTGTAGAGAAGTCAGCACATTATTCCGGTCGGAGTAGATTTTTACGGGTTGCCTCGTTACTTTTTCAGCGACCTTTTCCTCGCCGGTCCACCGCATGACGCTACGCTACGTGCCTGCCTGCTGCCCCTATATCTTGAGATTACCCTTGACCTCTGAGGGGTCCTGCGCGATATGATGTGGGCGATCTGGTCAACCGATACCTACTGGATTCTGCCATACCAAACGTGCCCGACCCAAACGCACATGCCCCTACTGTATCGTGAGCCGAATCATGAGCTCTGAGAGGGCCTGTGCGATTGTGTGGGGGACGTGATAGATATACCGATCCTGATCGCTCCGGTCTGGGCGATCTGCCACACGATCGCGCAAGCCCTCTCAGGGGTCAAGATCTCGTCTCACGAAACGGGCAATGCGCCTCAGTCAGGCATCTTTGTAGGACAGACGCCAGTAGGTACAGCCGTAGCGCCGTGGACCGGCGAGACGAAGGTCAGGGTTTGTAGGCGGAGGTTGGGATCAAAAGAATACATCCGCGTACGGAAGGCAAGGAATTTGTCTATGTAGGATTGATTGCGCGTTGGAAAAAGGATTTTCGAGTAAACCAGACCAACCCCGCACAATAGACCCCCACCTCCCGTCTTTTGTCGCAGTCTTGGGCGGCAATGTCAATCCCTACGTAAAGTTCATGCCCCCGTTGATCCATGCCACCTTTACCGCCGACTGCATTTTCCGTCATATTCGGATCCTTGAGGTGCCTCCTACCGACCTATGCGTACACCCTCGTGGTAAACACAAACCTTTGGGGCCCGGTAGGGTTGGGTCTGCTGGAGCGACGGAAGCTGCTTCACTTCCCTTTTCGAAGGCCCTTCTCTCTCGTTCGTCTTTCCCTTCGAATCACAATGGGTGTACCCACCCATTCCCGAAAGAACCAGACTTTCGGAAGACAGAACATAGTATCGCAAACGCTCCACCCCGCCCGCGCAGGCTTGCCTACACACCAGACACCAAAATCCCGCACGCCGGGACCTTCGAGATCATCAAGGAGGACCACACGCTCGGAAACCTGCTGCGAATGTGAGCTGAAAAGCGCGCTTGAGAGGATGGGTTGTTGCCCAAGCCCGAAGGACGAGGAAGTCTCTCAGGGTCCACGAGTTTGTGTTGCTACAGCTGCTGCTGTGGTGGACACAAACCCCATGAGCTTTGCCGTTGGTTTGTGTGAGGGACTGTGATTGCCTTGGTATATCGACCATTTCACCACGTCTCCCTCATTCTAGAACGTACTGGCAGTGTGTTGTGCAGTCATTCGCGTCTAGCAAGCGGCTGAGGCCATTTTCGCCAGCGGATTGCGCGAGAGCTTGGGAAACGGTAGGCCAAGCGTAACTACAGTGGCAGATGTGGCGTGTGCGGTACAATGATACCCACAACGGTGTTGATAGGTTGACATTATAGATTTGTTGCAGTGCGTCACAATGACGGCGCGGCGCCTTCTTTTTTTTTTCTCCCATCATTGGACTCTGTCGTCTGCCCCTCCGGCCCCTATCCTCCACTTCTACTAGCTAGACGACCCAACCGGGGTCACACATTGGGGGGGGGTTGGACCCCCTCCTGCGGTTCCTCCGCAACACCTTGTTTTTCCTCGCTGCTGCGTATACACTGCTTTTTGAGGCGGACAGGAAGGAAATCAATTCAATTATTCCGGTGTACAATTGGGGAAGGCGTTGTCGAGGGTTAAACTTCATTCGTGTCCTCTTCGTCTTTGCCCCGTTCGGTCCCATCGCTTTTCCTCTGTCCGTTGTGCGACAGGCAACTGCTAGCCGACAGGCAGGTTCGGTTTGCCGGGTACATGCAACCTCATCCGTTGGAGAACAAGATCCATATCAAGGTGCCTTTCGTAACAAACTTTTCGCGTCCCAGTCAGGCGCTGTACGCTGCGATGTAGGGCTTATCAGACCCATCGACTCGCTGAAAAATCAGAGATGGCGGGGCAATGGACTTGGAGCCGAGGAACGCCACCGCCGTTGATAAATTCCAGGCGGAGATGCAGCAAACGCGCTAGGTTCCCATAAGTGCTTCGGATCGGAGAACAATGTCTAGCATTCACCATGAGCAAGCGTTTTTACGTTTGCGAAGCTGGTAAAATTAACGAAAAGCTGTATTTTACTGCAGTCCATCTCCAACACATGGACTTTGATACCAGACGATATGCCTCGATATGCACTTCAGCAAGGGCATCCACGCCACACATTCTAGGTCGTACGATCAAACGAACGCACTCGAAAAGCTTACTTGCAACTTATGTACCCACGCTTATGAAAATCACATCAAACGCAACACATGATGGGCAGGTCCAAACGAACGGTGACAACACACCGGTGGATGCTTTGTCGGCGGCGACTGAGGATCTGTCACAGGAGATGGAAGGGCTGCGGGAAGTTTTCCAAGAGCAGGTTGCGGCTGCCAAGCACGCCGCGGAGCAGGAGCAGTTCGGGTCATAGTTTATGTGTCGATGTGTAGGATGGCTTTGCGTCGTTGGCTGTTAGCGGCGGAGCAACCGCGTTGTTGCTGGGTGCCCCTACCGCTCGCCACGATCCCCTGCGCGGCCAGATTGATGTTTACTCCCGCGTGCCTTGTATGTACGTACGGTGAATGATGTAGTGTATTGTTGACGTTGGACGGCGTCATTTACAGGCTGATATGTGTACAGTGATGGAAGCCTTCGTTGTCCATGTTTTCTTGTTTCGCCGGCGCTTAGCGAGCACGTGCTGCATCCCCCCGCTCCTACCAAACAGACGTTCCCAGAAGGATGTGCGGTGGGTCGTAGTTGTCACGACCAAACGTAATGTTGACCTCATGCTCTGCTGTGCAGTTCTATCAGCCGGTGCATAGACAACCTAGTCGTGTTGCGGTTTGGCGGAGGCACTGTCACCATTAAAAAAAAATACAACTGTTCATTCTTGTTTTTGGTTTTCCTCTTGGTGAAACTATTATGCATGTGCATCGAAAGGAGGCCTACATATTTTGGTACCCTTCCACACTCGTGGGTGCCTTCCTCTCGACCATGCCCCACCAAGAGGCTGCCGTGGGTCCCCAACACATGCCCTTCCGCTTCTTCTATCACCAGCAAGAAAAAACCGGCACACGCCAGGCTACCGTAAGCCGGTGGAGTCATCACCAGCGGCGGTTTGCTGCAAAATACCGGGCCAACGACTTTCTTACTACCCATTTTGGACGAGCGACTAGGCGCGCATTCAGAGTCCCCGGCGGCCGCTCCGCAAACGATGCCCAACACAAGCGGCCACCGCCCCCCCCCCCCCCCCCCCCCCCCCCCCCCCCCCCCCC